CCAGGGAGGGGCGGTCCTGCTCAGGGTGACACTGCAGCGCTGGGGGTCGGGGGCTCCTTCTTCACACCATCCCAGTGGAGGGGGATGTGGTAGACCCCCAGGGGACACCCAGGGACCACAGGTGACCCATTCAGCCTGTCAGACACGGCCTCGCTGTGCACAGGGGAGCTGCTGTGTGCACGTATGTTGGATGAATTACATGAACAGATGAACGGAATCTAGGATTATTCCATTTTTATTATTATTCGTCTGGTTTACAGAGACGCTAAGCGTTTTGAAAACTGTCTTCTTCGGAATATGTTGCCAAGTTTGGTGCCTTCATGCTCCCGCCTCTGTGTCTAAGGGTGATGATGCTATGGGGGTGGGGAGAGAACATCTGAGGGACCCTCTGGGAGAGGGAAGTTCTGAGCCAGGGGTTAGGACCAGGATGCTGGGGGCCTGAACTCCCAATAAATAGAATAATGCCTGGGTCTGAGGGAGGAGGGGCCGGGGGCCTGGACCCCTGGGTCTGAGGGAGGAGGGAGCTGGGGGCCTGGACTCCTGGGTCTGAGGAAGGAGGGAGCTGGGGGCCTGGACTCCTGGGGCTGAGGGAGGAGGGAGCTGGGGGCCTGGACTCCTGGGGCTGGGAGAGGAGCCACTGGTCTTGAGTGGAGAGAGCAGGCCTGGGCAGCAGGTGGGCATCCGTATTCCCTCACACTGGCGATCACGCGCTCAGAATGGTTTGCTGGATCCAGTCGTAGTACTCGCAGAGGTTGGTGTAGACTCCGGGGTAGCCAGGCAGGGCACAGCGCTCCATCCCCCAGGACACCAGGCCCTGGAGTTTCCCGTTGCACACCAGGGGTCCTCCGGAGTCTCCCTGAGGGGGACAGACCCCAATGGAGACACCCGTGAGCGGACGGGCAGAGCCATGTGCATAGAGAAAAGGCGGAGATGGGGAGGCACATGGCTGGTACCTGGGAGGGTGGGGGGTGGGTGGTGGGGTGGAAAGACTGCAGACATCAGCCCCAGGGTTGGGTCCCTTCCTTCCCTCTTTGGTCCCTGCTGTCTCGGGGCCTCACGGAGACCCCCTTCGTCTTAGCTGTGTCTCTAGAAAACTGTATGTGGCTCATCACACACACCCCCCCCTCCCCCTGACGCTGGAGCCATCTCCCGGGGATGGAGTAAGATGCCCGGAGGCCTGAGCACAGATTCCCAGGTGCACGGTCAGGACAAGGACAGCAGCGATCAGAGCCGCGTGCAGGCACCGCTCGGCGCTCTTTCCACTGACCATCTCGTCTGATCCGCCAGCTGCTCTGAGCGGTGCAGCCTCCGCTGGACAGAGGGGGAAACCGAGGCACAGAGGGATTAGGTCCGTTCCCACAGCTCACAGCTGGGAGGCCGCCCGGCTATTCTAATCGCTCAAGGCCTTGGGTGCTCCTGAGGTCCTTTTGCATTGAAGTCCCGGCCCCTGAGCCACTCCCCCTCCCCCTACCCCCGTCCCCCCAACTTCCTCGGGCTCTCACCCTGGGCCTCACCTGACAAGAGTCCTTCCCGCCTTCCGGGATTCCCGCGCAGACCATGCCCGCGGTGATGGCGCCGGGGTAGGCCTGCTGACATTGCTGACGAGAGGTGATGCTGATGTTTACGCACTGCAGAGCGTTGGGGTACCTGGCTGGGGAGGCACTGAGTGGTCAGGAACTTGGGGTCTAGCCTCCACCAGGCACCCTGGAATGTGGGGACCCACCGCCTCCTCCCTCGGACCCGGAGCCCCGCCCCAGCCCCCAGCTCGCTCCTTTCCAGGGGGCAGGAGTCCTCACCCATGGGGCTGGACGTGGTGCCCCAGCCGGACACGTGGCAGGGTGTCTGTGGGCTGGCGCAGGTCCTGGCCACGGCGATGGGCCTGACCGCGCTCCCCAGCCGAGCCGGCCGCTCCAGCTGCAGCAGCATCAGGTCGTTGTCGTGGGTCCGAGGGTTGTACTGGGGATGTGGCACCTGGCGGGCCACGCGCAGCACCTGCTGGGTGGCCTCGCGCCTCTTCAGGTTGTGCTTGCCCAGCGCGACCCGAAGGATCCTGGCCCAGGACCCGCGAGAGGAGGCTGCTCACGATCGGACCCGGAGACACCGCCCCACGCGCCAGCCCGGCTCCCTCTGCCTGGGGACTGGGCACTTGCTGGGTATCCTTTCTCCGCCCAGGCCCGTCCGCCCCCTCCTCCCGTGAGCTGTGCTCTGGCTTCTGGCTGGGGGAGGTGAGGCGATGGGTGGGAGTTCTTGGCCGGGGCCAGGTTCTCTGCTCTGTGTTCTACGCCAGACTCGAGGCTACGGCTCCAGGCTCTCAATCTGAATCGATATTCTGGAATAGGCTCCAGGGAGCCTCCCTCCCCGTTCTCGCCTGGCCTCTGGGTTCCCGACCTTTGGAATTGTGGAATCTAAGCTGGGACTGGGGTTCTAGATGGAGTGTGGGTTGTGGCACCCTTTCTAGATACTGGCGGGGCAGGCTGAGGGGTCTGTTTTGAGCTCTGCACGATGGCTTGAATCTGGGTTCTAGATGTTGATTTGAGCTTTCAGTTTTGGGGCAGGGGGAGGATGCTGTACGGACTGATAGATTAAGACCCTAGTTGTGGCCCTGGCTGGTTTGGCTCAGTGGATAGAGCATCGGCCTGTGGACTGAAGGGTCCTGGGTTCAATTCCAGTCAAGGGCACATGCCCGGGTTGTGGGCTCGATCCCCAGTAGGGGGACATGCAGGAGGCAGCCGATCAATGATTCTCTCTCATCATTGATGTGTCTATCTCTCTCTCCTTCTCCCTTCCTCTCTGAAATCAATTTAAAAAAAAATACCCAAGCTGTAGATTTTGGATGTTGATATGAGCTCTAGTTTCTAGGTTGAGTTTTGGTTCTTGCTTCAGCTCTGGCTTTGGACAGTGGGTGGAGCTTTGTGCTGCCGTTGGGCTTAGGGTTCTAAACATCGGTCTGAGGTCTTGATTCTGGGCTGGGCTGTTCATGTCGAATCACTGGTTTGTCCGGGCTCTTGGTTCTTGACTGTGGTCTGAGCCCTTGGCCTCTGGTTGGGCTCTGGGTTCTAGAATGAGCTCCCGGACTCACGTGTCTAGACGCTGGTTTGCATTCTGGGCTTCGCATCCTAGACGCTGGGCTGAGTTCTGCCCTCTAGGTTCTAAAGCAGTGGTTCTCAACCTTCCTAATGCCGCGACCCTTTAATACAGTTCCTCATGTTGTGGTGACCCCAATTTCATTGTTACAAATTGAACATAATGAAGGCATAGTGATTAATCACAAAAACAATATGCAATTATATATGTGTTTTCCGATGGTCTTAGGCGACCCCTGTGAAAGGGTCTCTCGACCCCCAAAGGGGTCGCGACCCACAGGTTGAGAACCGCTGTTCTAAAGGGAATTTCCATTTATGGCATTGGACCTGGTTGGTAGGCCAGAGCTTTCATTGGAGGCCTGGGTTCTAGGTTTAGGTGCAGAAGCTTAGAGGGGTGATGAGTTCTGCGTGGGGCTTCGGATTAATGTCTGAATTCTGGGATCTAGACACTGGGTTGGGGTCTGGGTTCTAGGCTGCTCAATGAGGAGCTGTAGACTCTGGACTACTAAACATTGGATCTAGAATGGGCTCCCGGCCCTGCTTCTACCCTACTCTCTGAGCTGTATGTCCCAGCTCTAAGTGGGGGTCCGAATTTATGGCTGGATTGCAGGTCCTGAACCAGGCTCTGGATTCTACCTAGGCAGTGTTCTGTCTGAGACGGGGCCCCGAGTTCCTAAAGGTAGATCGTGCCCCAAATTCAACCACCCACGTAGAATGGGCTCCTAATCTTGGTCTCTGTGTGGGCCCCGGCCTCCGTAGGGATCTTGAGGTTACGCAGTTGGTTCTAGGTTCTGTGGGGGGCCTCCACGCTGGCGTACAAGGGGTTCTAAACTCTCCATCTGCTCTCAGAATCTAAACCGAGTTCAAGGTGCGTGGCTAGATTCCATACGCGGAGCTGTGTCTGTGGTTCTAGGCTCTTGTCTAGACCCCAAACCTGGACCCAGCTGCTCCGTTGGCTCTGCACAGGGGTCCAGGGTTCTCGGCTGAGCTCTGGGCCTCCAAACTGGAGGCCACTTGGCATAGGCGTAGGGGAGGGCGCCACTCACGGGCGGGAGCAGTGGGCGGCGGTGATGGCCCAGTGTTCTGACAGCAGGACCGCTCCGCAATGCAGGCGATGGGCGAGGCCGGCCAGCAGGGCTGCCTGCCACGGCTGGGAGTGCTGGATGCAGGAGTAGCCACCGATTATTTTGTTCTTATCCTCTTGGCTCTGGGCCCCGGCTAGGAACAGGCAGGGGTTGGGTGGGAAGAGCAGGTGAGCACATGCCCTCCAGTGCCCAGCAATCGAGGATCTCCAGGACCCAACCTCCCCACTTTCTTTGCTTAACCCTTGACCCACCGCCTCGGTCAGCCCCACCCACAGGGCCTCCATGTCTGCTCCAATGCAATAGGGAGCTTACTGATCCCCTCCCCATGATCTCACCCAGGGCCTTGCTATGTCTCCTGCCCTCAACGGCATTCTCCCACAGACACTTTCGATCTCAATACGCCCCTCAGTCCTCCCCTAGAACATTCAATGAGCTCCCTGTCCCATCCCCAAACTCCCCACTCCATGTGGCCCCCCGGGTCCCATGATCTGTCCCCACACTCACTCCATTCTCTACACCACATCCCTGCCACCCCATCGTCACCCCCACCAGCATTTGGGAGCACCCTATGCCCTAAAACTGCGATGTCACCACAAGTCAGCTCTCAGGCCCTGCTCCAGCCCATCCCTCAGCCCTGATTTCCAAACTACAGCCCCCCTCTCCTCCTCACCAGGTCACCCATGAGCATCCTGGCCCCCAGGACCCGTTGCCCCTCCTTTCTCAGCATCTCCGGGGCACCTCCTACCCCTGACCCAACTGCTTATCTTACCTAGAGCCCAGATCTGAAGTGCGGTCAGCAGGAGGAGCATCCTGGGGACCCGGGGGTTGGGTTCTGGCAAAAAAAACAGAGAGAAAGTGAGAGAGAAAGAGGCTGCGTCAGGCCCAGAGGCCGAGGGCCAGAGGCAGCGAGAGCCTCTCACAGGGAGACCAAGACCCTTAGAGACATGGATCCCGGGTCCTTGGCGACTTGAAGGGAGGATGCTGACCAAGGAGCACGTCCGGCCTTGATGTCTTCCTGGGAGGAGGAAGTGGGGATGGTGTCTCACCTCCCAGTCACTCTGTAGATCCCTTTTATCCCTGGTCTGGGCAGTTGGCCCTGCCCAGCTTCCCCCCTCCCCTCCCCCCTCCCGCCCTTCTCCTAACATTTTATTAATTGCTTAGTTCCCATTCCAAGACTCCCGGGTACCATCTCCTCCCTCCCTCTCTGGCCAGAAAAGCAGCCACAATTGTTAATGTGAACCTGCCCGCCCCATAAAGGTGTTAGGATCTGGAAGGGATCCAGGGAAGGGACCCCAGGGCAGGGCGGATGGGGTGAGGGTGGAGGGGCTCTGAGGAAGGCGCTGGGAGGGGCTGCGAGAGGGAGGGACAGAGGCTGGAAATGTACCTGAAGGTGGAGAGACAGGGAAAAGAGCTAAGACAAATACAGGCCCAGAGAGAAGTGGGAGAGGCAGAGCTGAGAGGGACGGGGACAGGGGAGGCAGATGGACAGAGACAAGACGGGGTGGGAGGCACAGAGAGAGATGCGTGGAGAGGTCAGAGTGGAAAAGCTGAGCCAGAAGCAGAGAGAACAGGGAAGAAGGTGCAGAAAGTATGGGAAGGGACACAAAGAGAGAGAGAAAAGAGGGGTCCCCCTTCCCCCCAAACACACAGGTGCTGAATGAGAGCAGTGATGATAGAGGGAGATGTGAGTGGTGGATGCAAGACAGGTGATGGGGACATGGACAGGGGAAGCAGTGGAAGGTGACACAGCAGAGAGAGAGGCAGGAGGCGGGGAGGCGGCAGGCAGGGAGCCAGCAGGAGCGGGAGGTACAGGAGGCACCTGGGACTGGCCAGGCCTGTCTCCCATGCTTTCTCACTCTGTGGTCCTCGCAGTCCTGGGAGGTGAGGGAGCTGGATCCCGGGCAGGGACGGGGAGGCTCTGTGCCCGGGGACACAGGAAGCCATGGAGACCCAGAGAGAGGGAGACAGGGACGCAGAGAGAACTGGAGAGAGAGCGGTGAGATGACAGAAGGTTCCAGGAAGCCCGAGGTGGGGAGCCCTGGGTTTGGGGAGCCCGTCCTAACTGGGAGCAGGGCCTCGGTGGCCAGCCCCTCCCCCAGCCTCTTAAAGTCCCTAATGACTGCAATTTGTCTCAGGGCCTGAGCAGCCCCGCCCCGGACCACCACGCGGTGACTCAGGAGGCCGCCTCTCTATTTTCTCCCTCCTTCCCTCCCTGGCCGGCCCAGGGCTGGCTCCCAAAACACTTTTCCTCGCCTGTGCCCGGGCTGCTCTGAGCTGAGCCTGCCTCTGCCTGCACATGGGGACCGCTCGGTGCCGCCTCCGGACCCCCACACACCACCTGTGCCCTGGGCAGGTCTGCTTCCCGCCAACCGGCCCCACGGAGGGGGCGCCCTGCTTTGTGCTGAAGGCCTTGGCTGGGGCCCTGGTGACACAGAAGGGCCCTTTTTTTGTTATTGTTGTTGTTTTTTTTAAAATATATTTTTATTGATTTCAGAGAGGAAGGGAGAGGGGAGAGAGAGAGAAACATCAATAATGAGAGAGAATCATTCATCGGCTGCCTCCTGCACACCCCACACTGGGAATTGAGCCCCCAACCCAGGCATGTGACCTTGACTGGAATCAAACCCAGGACCTCGTGGTCCCTGGGATGATGCTCAACCCACTGAGCCACCACAGCCGGGCAACACCGAACCCCCCTTTGTAAAGAAAGAATTCTCTGGCTCGGCCAGTGCGGCCAGCGGTTGAGCGTGGACCCAGGAACCCAGAGATCTCCGGTTCAATTGCAGGCTGCGGTCTCGATCCCCAGTAGGGGCCACGCGGGAGGCAGCCTATTGCTGATGCTCCTCTTTCATCGATGTTTCTCTCTCTCGATCCCTCTCCCTTCCTCTCTTCCTAAAAATTTAGAATAAAAACATGTAAAAAAAGAAAGAATTCTCGGGGGGCAGAGAGGTGGGCGGCTCCAGGGGCCTGCTCTGTGATGAGGGACCAGTTCCGGGTCTTACACAGAGCTACGCCTGGGATGAAGTTCCATAGAAACACATGTGCACACACGTGCACACACACGCAGGCAGATGGACACATGTAAGCGATGGACGCGGGATAAAATCTGAGGCCTAGAGCCCTGCCCTGTGTGGCTCAGTCGGTTGGAGCTGGGTCCTGCACAGTGAAGGGTGGCGGGTTCGATTCCCTGTCAGGGCACCTACCTAGGTTTCGGGTTTGATCGCCCCTCAGTGCGCCTATGGGAGGCAACTGATGGATGTTTCTCTCACACATAGATGTCCTCCTCTCTCCCTTTCTCTCTCTAAAATCAATGAAAAACATAATCTCAGATGAAGATTTAAAAAAAAAAGAGAGATCTGGGGTCTAATAGTTGATGTCTGATAGAATTGTACCCCTGAAACCTGTATAATTTCATTAGCCAATGTCACCTCAATAAATTCAATTTAAAAAAGATTGGGCTCAAGCTGACCCTTGTGGATGACCTGGGTCTGAGGTTGGACCACAGTCAACTAGACGTCACCATCCGGGGAGGGGACACGGGACCCTGTGGACTGTTTGTGCAACGTCCTGTGAATCTATAACAGGGGTGGGCAACCCCTGACACGCGTGCCAAACATGGCACGCCAGTAACTTTTGCTGGCACGCGAAACCCTCTCTTATAATCTTCCATTTACAATGTTGACTCTTTGTGCTCAGTGATGAATTTTGTTAAGTCTCGTAATAGGAGTAGCCTGAGGGATGAAAGTAGTAGCTCGTGCATATCTCTGAAGGTCACGAAATATAAACCTGATGTAAAATCTCTGTCATCAGTGACGCAGCAGCAAAAGTCCCACTGATAATATCAAACAGAGTCGTAAAGTTTTCTGTCGGACTAGCAGTGTACATGTATACATTAAAAAATAACTGTATTGTTCATCATCATATACTGTGCTTTTGTCGCTCGAATGAATTTTATTATTTCTTCAAGGTTCTTCACATACGTACACCTTAAGAGATATCAAGTAGGTGTAACATGTTCTCAAAAAATTAGGGTGGGCAAGCAGAAGAATTTTGAGTCAGAGATTTTGCTGGTTTCGGCACGCACTCACAAAAAGGTTGCCCACCCCTGATCTATAAAAATTTCAGGATAAAGAGTTGGCTACATCACGGAACCTCCCGGTAAACACAAGCCCTTGACCCCGGTTTGAGGAGAAAGCTTTGCTCTGAGGGGCTCACGGGGACCCTCCACTGAGCTTGTCTCTAACCTCTCCCTCATCCTGAGAAGAACTCTCGGCTCAGGCAGCCTCATGGAGCCCACGGGAGCCGAGCAGGCCAGGGATGCAACCACATATAAGGCTCAGAACCGCCTTATCGCGGCCCAGCCCAGCCCTCGAGCCCCCTCAGGGCCACTCCCGCTTACTCACTCCTTTCTCGCCAGACTAAACTCTGCTCCCCACTCCACCCACCAGCTTAGCACAGTGTTGTTTGCCATGCCGTGGTGTTAATAAATATTTGATGAATGAATGAATGAATGAATGAATGAACATATGGCCACAGTCTTGCCTTCAAGGAGCTCACAGTCTGGTGGGAAAGGTCAATAGGGCCTCTGACGGGGGATGTTGGCCAAGGGCATGATGGAGCCTGGGGAGTGGGAAGACCCAGGTGGGTGTGCGAAGCTGGGGCCTGCGGATGAATAGGAGTTCGCCAGGGGGAGTGTGGCAGGGGTGGGAGGGAAGGGAGTGATTCTGAGGATAGTCCTGCAGGCAGGAGGAGGTGACGGAGCTCAGAGTGCTGGAGGGAGACCTGGCCAGGAGAAGCAAGAGGCCCGAGGGTGATTCTGAGCAGGGAACGGAAGAACCCTGAGGGTCCTCACTGCTGACTAGGTCTCGAGTTTAGGGGAGCTGTCTGGGTAGAGACAGCCATGGGGCGTTCCCAGGACAGATAGCACCAGAAGCCAGAGTGGGGAGCTGGTCTGAGGAGGCAGGATTGAGTGAGAGGGTTAGGGACCCCAAGGAAGGGCCCAAGTGGATGGGAGGAGGTTGCCCCTGAGGTGCAGGAAGTGGAGGGGTGAGAGGGAGCCAGGGACGAGCTAGAAGGAAAACCAGGAGAGAGAGGTGTCAGGGAATTGTGGGTAACTCTTTTTTTAAAATAAATATGTTCTTATTGATTTTGAGAGAGAGAGAAAGAAAGAGGGTGAGATAGAACATTGATGAGAGAGAAATACCAACATCCTGCATGCCCCCAGCTGGGGGTCAAGCCCGTGCAACCCGGGCATGTGCCCAGACAAGGAACTGAACTGTGACCTCTTGGTTCATAGGTCGATGCTCAACCACTGAGCCACACCAGCTGGGCGTAGATAACTCTTTAAGGAGGATGTGCATGGGGGGTCAAACACAGCTGGGCTGTTCAAAACTTTAAAAAAAAAAAATTACATTCTGGAAAGGGGGCAACCAGGAGAGAGAAAGTTAAAGAAATACAGGACATGCCCTAACCGTTTTTGGCTGAGTGGCTAAAGCGTCGGGCTGCGGACTGAAAGGTCCCAGGTTTGATTCCGGTCAAGGGCATGTACCTTGGTTGCGGGCACATTCCCAGTGAAGGGTGTGCAGGAGGCAGCTGATGGATGTTTCTCTCTCATCGATGTTTCTAACTCTCTATCTTTCCAGGTCTCCCTTCCTCTCTGTAAAACATCAATAAAATATATTTTAAAAAAAGAAAGAAATATCGGACATAATATGACAAGTTATGAGTGATATGAAAAAATAATAAGAATGCAGGGATGCCGAAACCGGTTTGGCTCGGTGGATAGAGCGTCGGCCTGCGGACTGAAGGGTCCCAGGTTCGATTCCAGTCAAG